GAATGTCTTATAGAGTAGTAGTCATTGAATTGAATGGCAATGATTGCGATAAATCATAATTTCGGTAGTCTTTTATAAGTCAAAAATATATATTTGTTTTCCTAAACAGTAGTATCATAATAATAAAATTAAAATAAAATAAAGTGTGTTTGAAAATAGCACACTCATTAAAACAGTAAACTTAAATTAGTCTTTTAATAATGTTATGCAATCAGTCATCAGTTGTGAGAGTCATTAATTGATTGCCAAAAATATATTCTTAAGTAAAATGACGTCAAAGATCTAGAATCTGATAATTAAATTAAGTCACAGGAGTCTAGAAATGTTGTCAAATCATGGGATGAAAGGGTGCTCTCAAGGGATAAGTTATGCAAAGATTTGTTTTATTTATTTTTTGTTAGCGATTCTAAATAAAGATTACATGCATTACTGGATCCCTAATGTTATTGTCTTTGAAATACACGTACAATGTTTTGGCAAACAGTATGTCTCGACAATAGAGACACTTGACATCAACATTAAGACAATGAAGTTATGAAATACAATACACACAAACAGATAACACACGTGTGTGTGAGTGAGGGAGAGGTCAGCTCTCGCGAGGTGTTCCCAACGCCTGGCAGCCTATCCACCAAACCAATAGTAGGTACATCCCACGGCATCCCTGTGCGATACAGTATAAGATTTGTTGCTTTCATATCAAAGTGTAAACCTGTACCAAATGTACTACCAGATGATGGTATTTTGGGTTCAATAATGCATTAAATGCTAGTTTTCTGAATAAAAAACTATTTGTAAGTATTATTACAACAATATTGAGCCAATCATTGCGTACCGGAGAAAAGCAAAGCCTTCGCAGCCGTAGTATTGATGTCTTAAACATTAAAACAATTATTTAGTGATATATCACTCCATTGAAAGGTGTGCCCATTAATTTCTCATTCTTTTGAAATCAGAGTTTAGTTAACGGTTTTTGTGAATTAAAAGCGTGTTTATACCAGAACTTAAACAAAATAAGCAATCTTTGAGGCACATTAAATGTAAAGAAAAGTGAATTGCCTTTTTATAAATAGTATGCGAAAATTAAGCAAATTTTTCTCGTATGTACAGAATATATGTTAGAAATTTAATGAATGAGTTTTAAAGTGTGCAGTCTTTAATCAATTTAATTTAAATTCATAAATATTCGTTTAAAATGAATGAATTCATTAATTAACCCCGAATATATTAGACATTAGCACTGGCAATGAGAATATTCCTAAATACTATTTCCAATATATTTTGTAATATATTTTGTTATATATTATCTAATACAATATATTAATATAACTTTTAAGTGTCTTATTAATTAATTCTTATTAATCATTTCCTGCTATACATCCTATTTTAAGCGTTTATGGGTTTGTTATATTATATTTTAATCTATATTCTTATTGTATTACGACAACAGATATCATTATTAAAACAGTATGTAAAGTACGTTATTTTTTGAAAATGTTTTCAGATAATATAAATAGAGCATTACAAAGGGAAAGGCAGGACTCACACCATTATACGGCATATGGGGTACACTCAGAGATTCCACACTGGATTCTATGAGATATGATTTGGACAGTCATATCAATGTTTAAACATATCATTTGGGGGACTGGGCTTAGATGTGCGCCCCGTTTGGCTGAACCTGATTTCCTGTATTAATGAAAATAAATGACTAAAATAAGCGATTTATGTATTTTATGAGACATACAATGATTTGGGAATAATTTTCTCATCGGTTCGGGAATATATAAATAAAATATTAATATAATGCATGGCATACGGAATATATTGAATCAGTACACATGCCAGCATACCATTCGTATTAATACAAGTGCTCGCAAAAAAAACTTTTTGAACACATTATGAATACATTGTATGAAATGTTTGCCACACTTTTGACATTATATGATTGTATGACAGGTCTATTTAGGTGATAGGGTTGGCTAACTCGCAGTCACTCCGAGAAACAAGTTATTGGAGAGAAGTTTTGTGATTAGTTTTTGGCAAACAGTAGTTCTTATAGAAGTTTGTGATAACACTTATGCGGCGATTGTGAGACTCGTATAGTGTATGAAAGAGAAGTTTCTTTAATAACGAGACACACAATAAGTCTAATATTATCTGCTTTTATAACAATAATTAACAAATTCTGTATCTATTGTCGACTATAGAAAGCATAGCAATAGAGTGCTATTCATGACAGGTGTGTGTGTCGGCCATACAGTGTAGGCATAGGTAGGGCTATAAATGCATACAATCATCATATTATGCATCACTTGATCATACATTGGGTTCACTCAAAGTTAGCCAAAAACTACATTTCCCCTCAAATCGATAACAACTTCTATTCATTACACATAGACATAGACATAGACACCAATTATATGTATGATCTGTTGGTAAGCATTAATTGGTGCGATTGTGTGTGTAATAGCCGGTAGTGTACGGGAGAGTGGGGGAGAGTGGAGGGGAATGGGAGGGCAGGGAGGGATGGGGTGATGGATGACACGAGTTTGTTATGATCTAACACTTCACTCCACTGTACGACTGTATGACTGTATGGTAAGCAATGGTAAGCAATGGTAAGCAATGGTAAGCCTGTAATAGTTTGCGTATGGCTCAATAGTGCCATAGAAGGAGTGCAATGCCGCGCACGCGCTCTCACTCTCCACACAACCGTTGACTCAAAAGCATTACTCGCTTTTGAAACAAATCTTTTGTGAATTTCAATTGCATTTTGAACTCAACTCTCATTGCAATACATGTATAGAAGGAGACACTGATTGGCGAGAATAGTGTCACATAATTGTTGTGTCAATACAATCGGCGTGTGATTTAACCACTAGATTAAGCCATTGCCGTGTGAGGTGTGAAGGGATTAACTGTAATCTCGTAGAAATATTTGTCACATAATTGTGTGCATCGCTGCTATCAGTGGCACTGATTGTGTGGACACCAGAGTATGTTAGTAGGTAAGTAACTTACACAAGTAACGTAAGTTGTAGTTAAACTAACAGTGATTATGAGTAACTAATGGTAAATGAGTTAGTAGCATATAAGTTGTGATGTGAGTTCCATTAATAGTAGAATATTATATACTCATTATAACTATATTTCCACATTTCTCTGAATAAAGTAAATTTAATTAACAAAAACTAATTGTTTGTTAAATACTTTTGCGATTAACTTTAGTATTCATTATACGGTTAATGAAAATATAATTGTATTAATAATAAGTTGCAGTGTTTTGTGAGCCGTAATTAAATGCGAGTTTAAATGAGGGCTAATATACCGACAATTATGCCGTGTTTTGAGTGTCCAGTCGATTGACGGATGAATGTCTTGACTATCATTGAGTCCTATTTAGTGGTGACTCGCGAAGGAGTGTTTGACACGAATCCGCTCGGTGTTCACAGAGTTTCTTGAGTGTAAAGTATATTACTCGCGAGTAAATCCCGGGTTTGTATAGTATATATTACTCTACTTACCGATTGATTACTGTGCTTTACAAACGGTTAACTAGTGAAGCTCCGCATTTCTAACGTGTATTTAATTGCAGCGCAAGACATGTCTAAAGGGATCGTAAGGACGAGTAAATTTCGTCACGTGTTTGGAAAGGCCCTGAAGAAGGAGAACTGTTACGACAACATCAGGATCTCGAAGAACTCGTGGGACTCCAACTTCTGTGCCGTGAACCCCAAGTTTGTGGCCGTCGTGATCGAAGCGGCCGGCGGCGGAGCCTTCCTCGTCCTGCCGCTCAATAAAGTGAGTCCACAGACAGACCACACGCCCCCTCCCGTCCCCCTCTCCCTTGTCATCTCAATTTGTCGCTTAGATATCCATTACATGAGATGTCTTCTCGTGTTTGACACAATTAGTTGTAGTTTTTTGTTATTGATTTTGGATTTAAGTGTTTTATGGATGTTATGTGTTATGAAGTGTTTTTATTCATTGAGGCTTTAGTTTAATGGTTTGATTTGAGATTGTGTTCAATCTTTTATGAATCATTGGTTGCGATTCAATCGATTGCAGTATTTATTGCCAACAATTGGTTTTCCGATATAATTAATGTGTGTTTTGAAATTGATGTTAAGTTTTCTATACTTAAACACCAATGCATTGCATATCATATGAATGTCTGAAGTGTGAGATGATGTGTGATCTATGTTTAACCCACAACTTAAACATCGTATCGTATTGTGCTCATCGGCCCTCTAATTATAGTTTGAGATATATTTTTAGTTATTGTGTTATATTTTGGAAAGCCATAAATGTTTGTTAGTTACAAATATGTTTAGATCACAAATCGACACGAATATGTATTTCTTTAATTATAGTAAAATGTATTTTAATTTCCTTTTGGTTTCCTTCCCTTTTAACTCCGAAATACAGTGCATTTAATCGACAATTATATGTATATGTAGTTAATAACTGAAGTGTAGTTTGGGTTTTGAGTTGTTTTTTATGATTAAAATTATAGATTTTTTTGGTTAAAAACAAAGTTTTTGTAAAATTGGTTTTCAAGAATTCAAAAGGTATTTAATGGTAAACGTGAATAGAGTTATTGACACTTACATTATACACATTTAGATCACCGGCACTTTTTGACACAATTAAACTGAAAAGTTTAAGACATGTAATGATTAGTATTTTATATAAAGTCAGTGGTTTTGATTGCGGCCTAATTTATAGCTCATCTACTTTTTGGCTCGAAATTGAAGTTTTCGTTATAAGTTTTTTAAAATAAATTGTTTTTTATTTATTCAATTAATTTATTTGTTTTTCGCATAACTTATTAATAAGGGATTACGTGATGTTTACAATAAATTCTTAAACCATTACGTTATATCCACACAGATTTATATAAAAAACTTGTAATTTTGAAATTTTATTTCATACATAAAATGAGAACATTTTTACTCGAATTTAGCGTTTTTTCTTATTTTATAAAAGCATTTGTTTTCAATTTTGGATTTTTATTGCCATAAAGAATATATGGTTTTATACATGAGTTGAAATTTTCATACATAAAATGAGAACATTTTTACTCGAATTTAGCGTTTTTTCTTATTTTATAAAAGCATTTGTTTTCAATTTTGGATTTTTATTGCCATAAAGAATATATGGTTTTATACATGAGTTGAAACAGTAATTAGACTTTCATTTCATAGACTTTATGTGTATTACTATTAGAATAATTTGATTGCAATAACAATATAATTGATATCTTTAGAGATGTGTCTAATCTAGAAATCTATGAATTTGTTAAGATTTTTGTGATATGTTTTTCAATTAAACAATATTTGCAATGAATTTGTGTGTTGAGAGAGAATCGTAAACTCAAATCGTGTTGTTTTGAATAACACATCGTTATGTGTCTTAACCCTATTTTATGGGCAAACGTTTGATAACACATATAATATTACATAATAATAATAATACTTAAGTTGTGTTTCTATAGGAAACAACTCCTCTATTAAATGGCATTAATTTTCAATTCAATTATTAGAGGGATTCAAATGAACTCAAAGTGATGTTCAGCTAAACAATAGTCTAAAAAGAAGGTTAAACGTTATGCTCGACCCCTCCATACCTTCATAAACCATACCATCGCCTTATATAAGCATTAATTTCTTTATTATTTATGAGATTTATATTTCTTTAAATAATTATTTTATCTCTAATATAATCTTAATTTCGTTTCTGTTAGTAAATTATAAATAAAAAACATTCATATCGTATATTATTGTATACACACTGTTGGGTTTGTTGCGATAGTTATTTCAATTTGAGATTAAGTTCTCAGAGTTTTATATTTCGGGCAATAAATCAGTCTTTGGTTTAATCTTAACTGTAAAGTAAATATTAGTCTTTGAAAACATGATCTCTTGTGACCTCACTTTCAGGCTTTTAATTATCGCTTTTTACGGTAATTACTAATTAATTAGAAATAATGTAAACAATTAACACTTTAATTATTCTGAAATTGTATTTAAATTTAATATAATTCATTTAATGCAAAGTACATTAAACCTTTGAATATTTATTTATCAAAAAACTCATTAAATGTTTAGTTTCTCACATTAATTAATAATTATTTTAAAAATTACTTTAAAGTCTGGACGCGTTGATGTAAACGCGCCGTTAGTAACTGGACATAAAGGGCCGGTTCTAGACATCGCGTGGTGTCCTTTCAATGATAATGTGATCGCCAGCTCTTCCGAAGACACAACAGTCAAATGCTGGCAAATCCCGGACTACGGCCTCACGCGAACGCTCACCGAACCGGTGGTCGAACTGCACGGACACCAGAGAAGAGTGGGATTCCTGTCATGGCATCCGTCGGCAAACAACGTGCTGTTGAGCGTGGGATCGGACAACAAAGTGATCATCTGGAATGTGGGCACCGCTGAGATACTGGCGATGATTGACTCGCCAGACCTGGTGTTTCACGCGTCGTGGAGTTGGGACGGCAGTCATCTCGTGACCACTTCCAAAGACAAGAAGATCCGCGTCTACGACCCGCGCTCTGGAGAACTCGAACACGTAAGCCATGCCGAGACACACGCACTGCACAGACGTTTGTGTTGTTATTATCCTAATTAACGAACCGATTTGTGGGAACAGGAGGGCGACGGACACGACGGCGCGAAGACCCAGAGAGCCATATATTTAAAAAATAATCTGATTTTCACGACTGGTTTCTCCAAAATGAGTGAACGACAGTACTCTCTGCGCAGCGAATCGGCGCTCAGCGAACCCATCGTTTTGGATGTGTTGGACACCAGTAATGGTGTCTTATTTCCCTTCTATGATCCCGATGTAAATCTCGTCTATTTGTGCGCAAAGGTATGCAAAGAATTTATTCATTTTGTTTTGCTCTCAAACTAATGCCTTTGATTTTTGGTGTAAAGGGCGACAGTAATATCCGATACTTCGAGATCACAGACGAGCCTCCGTTTGTCCACTACATCAGTACCTACCAGTCCAGTGAACCGCAACGAGGCATCGGGTTTATGCCAAAGCGCGGCTGTGATGTACTTAACTGTGAAATCGCCCGACTCTTCAAACTTCATACGAAAGGCTTCTGCGAAGTGATTTCATTCACTGTTCCTCGAAAGGTATGGCCTTTACATGACTCCCACTCCAAGTGTCACTCAAACAAACATAAAAGCAAACCCTCGCAACCTTTACATTGAATTTAAGCCAAATCTGTGTCTAAATGAAAAGTTTTGCACATTTGATGTAATTATAGAAATAGCGTATAAAAAGTTGTCAAGTATAATTTGCATAAAAGTTTCGAAATAGTTTTTATTTGTGTGTTAATTATGTGAATCCTTTTTATTTGTTTCTATTTCTATACTCGATTACAAGATTATTGCGGTTTTGAAGCAAACATTCCTTAAAACAATTGCAAATATAAATTGATTTCAAAATACGATTACAGTATTTCTAATTTTCTTTTTATAAAATTATTTGTCAAATGTTTAAAATACTTTAAATTCTTTGTTTTTTTCTTTTGACGTTAGTCTGAGTTATTTCAAGACGACTTATACCCGGACACTATTAGCGATATACCGGCGCTCACCGCAGAGGAATGGTATAATGGAGAGGACAGGGAACCAGTTCTGGTATGTGTTGATGCGAATCCTAAGTGAATGGTTTGTGTGTTAACTGGATTTGTATCACTTCTGTAGGTATCACTTAAAGAGGGCTATCAGTCCACCAAAAAGCAAGACTTAAAAGTTGCCAAAAAGAAGCCAAATCTGTTGGACAAACTGCCGGCAAAGAAGCAGTTGTCCTCATCGGGAGGCTCGACACCATCGCCGCCCGGCTCACCGAACCCGTCGTCCGGGGGCGGATCGGGTGGCGGCGGCGTGTCGTCCGGCGTATCCAACCAACGCGTCGAGGAATTAGTGTCGGAATTAAACAAATTGAAAGCAATTATTCTGAAACACGAGGTCCGCATCCGGGACTTAGAAAAGAAAGTGGACGGGAGTGCCGCCGATAACCAACACAACTCCCATCCCTCTATAGAAATCACCAAAAATAATGGCGAAACGCATGTCGCGGACGAGGTTTAAGGATAAGCATCGCAAACACCACTCGATTAAGACTTATATGTATTTTTAATTCAAAGTATAAATAATGCCTCCGTTTCCGACAGATTTGTTGCCATTTTATTGTGCATAACGTATATATAAATATTTAAAACATTTTAATTTATAAGATTTAATTGAAAACCAAATACTGGATAATAATAAATACGTGTCCATCAGATGACTAAATAACTGATTGATTCTATGGACTAACTATGAAATAATAGCTCTTTTGCTCAAATCTAATGCCATTCTCATACCATTGGGTACAACGATATGATGAGAATCGCATTGAATGGGCTTTTCTATGCAAAGTAAGCGAATGTTTTATTTTTGAGTTGCAATTGCGATACAAAACTGATCAACTGATCCACTCTTTTGTTATTTAAAAGATTTGTTTTTAAAGTTTATTTCAATGAAATTTATGTGAATTCATATATGATTTGTGAGCAAACCTTGGTATGACATTCAAACTGTGAACACCCGATGCGAATGTATTATTATTTTTAAATAGGTTTTAATTAAATTATATTTTAAAGCTTTTTTGTGCCAATCAATACCAGTTCCAAATAACTTATAATTATATACAGGTATATCACAATTTATTCATTTTTACTAAATTCTAAAGTATTTATATTTTCAAAACAACAACACATTTAACTATTATTATTATTGTATTTATAATAATAGACAAAATCTTAAAATATTTGTACAAATTTAGAACTAATTATTATTTTATTTAATTTATGCTTATTTTATGACTTATAATGAGATGCAATGAATATAAGGATTAAATAATGAACTAATTTGTCATTTTTCATTCATTTCTCATTTATTATCATTTAATTGAGACAACAATTTGCGGATCAATTAGAAGCCATCGGAAGAGCCGCCCTTTCGGTGATCGACTAATGCTCTTAACGTTGAGTTTGTTTCGAAAATACTATAAACCGATGAAATAATGTGATCGACGGCCAAGTAATGCCCGAAATGGTAGAGTCCGTCCGTATAGACTTTGGGGAACTCCGCCTCATATAACACTTGGTTTGTGTTGATGTCGTAATAGAGACGGGAGGTGTCGGTCGCCTGTTTTAGTGTCTGACATCTCCATAGGATTTGGTACAACACCTGAGCGACTGACGACACTATTCTGGTGCCACCGATGGCCCCGATTGCGAGCTTTGTGTCGCCATTTTCGTCGATTATGATTGTGGGAGACATCGAAGTGAGGGGTCGTTTGCCACCACTCATACCGTTGGGTATTGTCTCAGATGGTGCACCACTCGTCTCAACCGTAAAGTCTTTCATCTCATTGTTGAGTATAATTCCCGTCGATTGAGAGATCCGTTTTGATCCGAATATCGAATTAATACTAGAAGTGACGGAAACGGTGTCCCCATTGGGTGCGATCACCGATATATGACCCGTTCCCTCATCATTGATTAGCTGTCCCGTCAGTCCGTAATAAGAGTTGGGTTGAGCCCTGTCTAGTATGAGTTGTTGTGTCTTTCGCGCCCATGTCTTAGAAGTGATATTCTGGAGGAGCGCTGTATTGTCCACAAAGTCTGGATCTCCTAATCCTAATCGCTTCCCAAATGCAAACTTTAACGCCTCAACGAAGCGATGGAAGTGTAGTATCCGTTGGTTAACATCACGGGTGTCATTGCAAGTGGTGTTGTAATTGTCGAGAATGTTGAGCACATAGGCTACCAGTGCTCCACTTCCAGGAGGGGGAACTGTTAACAGAGTGTAGTCCCCGCCATGAATGGACACATTGACTGATTGGCGCACTTTTGCCGAATAGCCCTTCAAGTCATCGATTGTTATGTTTCCGTTCATACTTTGAATGTCTGTAACCAAGTCGTTAGCAATGGATCCGCTATAGAAGTCTTCGGGATTTTTGGCGATCTTTTCTAAAGTCTCGGCTAATTTGGGTCTTTTGAGTGTATCTCCAGATTTATACAGATTTCCCGTTCCGTTGTTCACAAATAGCTCTTTTAGGGTCTCTTCGCTTTGTATCTCTTTCTGTGACTCCAATAAAATCTTTTCCAAATACTGGTTGACGACAATCCCATTGCGGGCCAAAGCGATCGATGGCTCGACCAGAGAAGACCAGTTGAGTTTGCCGTACCTCTGATGAGCCAAAATCATTCCCTTCAGCTGACCCGGCACTGCAATCGACAGCCCGTCTGATATGGACAACCAATGAGTTAATCATATTTGACACCAAATTATCACTAATAAAGGGCTCAAACAATACCTTCTTCTAAGAGAGATTTATTGTCTCTGAAGAGATTGATGTCTATGTTTTTCGGTGCCGTCTCTCTGGCGTCAATCACTTCACTTGTTTTATTGACTCTAATCACAGTAATTGCGGAAACATTTGTACGGTTTTTTAGTAAACATAATCAATCAAATGTCATATACCTGTTGTAGACAACCATAAGAAATCCTCCGCCAATCCCAGAGCTCTGAGGATTCGCTATCTCATCGCAAAAGAGCAGAGCTATGGCCGCGTCGACTGCCGACCCATTTCTGGCCAACACCTGTCGGTCACAACAGAATATTCGTGAGAATATAATTCATTAATAAAATTAAGTCATTCGCTGACATCCTTCCCGATCTGAGCGCAGGGCTGTCCGTCCACCACAACGGCCGATGACTTGAAGACGGCTTCCTCGGCATTTGACACAATGAACTCTCCCTTCAAATAGAGGTTCCGTTTGTGTCTGAGTTTCGGTAAACCGAGCGCTAAAGTGACCGAAAATGCGATAATCACTACAAGTAAGGCGACGCTCACTAAAATGCAGTGCTTTTTGGTGAAATGGGTTCTGAAACATAAGAAGTTCACAATAAGTGGTCATTCATAATAGGGTCACAAATTGTCCTGGGTAGTTAGTGGCCAAACACTGTTCACTCACTTGGGAACCGAGTCTATTAATGTGTATTTATAGCTAACACTACCGTATCGTTTGGACTTGTCGTCCGAGTCTTCGCGAAGAAGTTTTGACTTTTCACTCATTTTTAAGAATATTTTAACACTTTTTTGTTTAACTAAAACATAGAAACTCTTAGGAAATGAACGCCTATTTTGACGCTTTTGTGACGATCTTTGTCTGTCTTATCAGCAAAACTTATTTCAAACCAATTAATAGTTTAATTGATTGAATGTATTGTTTATGAGATCATTGTTTAAACTCAATAAACAGTTTACTTAATTTGATTTCCAGATATATTTTCAAGTATTTTGAAGATAACTAATGCACTCAACAGAGCAATAGTTCATCGTTTCAACAGACAATTCATTTCTTGTATGCAATTCGTATTAATTACACGATTATTCATAAATTGTAAAATTATTTATCATTTTGAGTACATTTTCAATAAACAGATTTATGTGTTTATTCAATATTTGCTAAAATTCTTATTATTTAAGTGACAAAACTGAAGGTTTAATGGTTTATTTGAGTACAATTAAGGTGGAAATGAAAATGTCACTTAAGGTCACATAATCGCTGATTTTATTTGCTTTATGCCTTTGGATAAGATTTAAACCAAACAAGGTTTGGTTAGGTTTGTCTCATTTGACATTTAAGAGCCTCTATTTTTATGTTATATAATGTTATATAATTTAGTATTAATTTTTATTACGTAAAGTTTTGTGTAAATTACAATTTAATTTAAGTTTATTACTTTATTATTAGTTTATTATTGTTAGGTAAAGCTACAGGTTATAAAATTTAAGAAACTCTCTCTCTCTCCTAGATTGTTATTTTCAATTTAAAACTAATTAATATTGACATTGCTATTATTTTCAATTCTGTTATTAAACTGGAATTGTGTGCAATATTTATAATAATTTCATCGCTCATATCCTTAATCTTTAGAAAATATATAATTTTATGAACACTTTTCCACTGAATTTAATTAATATAGTCATTCAATTTTAACACATAATACTTTTCTATTGTTTATTAAATCATTTACAAAATATGAAGTTTAATGAGATTTAGATTTTATTGATGATTATGTAAACACTATTTTGAGTGCAAATACCACTTGAATTACATTCGTTATAATAATGTGATCATATCTTTATGTTAAACATTGTTTTCTTTTTTGATAATTAATTTTTTATAATAACAATAGCAAATTGCTTTTGAATTTGATTATAAATTTTGAGCCAAGAATAATAATAACAATTTCGGTGAGAATATTACTTATGGCATCAATTTTGCAGTTTTATAACCAAAGCATTACTTGAATAACAAAAACGAGTCAATATTTCGCACAAATAATAATAAAGGTTTCTATTATTTTATTTATAGAGAGAAAGCTAAGCAGAAAAGGTATCAAAAATAAAATTTCTGAGAAACAAAACTCGCATATTTTATATCTAATTATTTTATGTAAATAAACAGTTATATTAATTAAGTCTTAGAGCAGTGAGAATAAGAGTTTCTTTGTGTCCGACAATTATCATTAGTCAGAATATATTAATAGAAATTATTTTAAATACTTAGAACTCACTTAAACACATTAATTATATAGTTTTATAATTTGTATAATTAGATTTTTTTTCATATAAACAAACAATGTACTTTAAAGGCTAGATTTAACGACACATATGATAATCAGCGGGAAAACTCATTCACCAAAACATATGCCGTATTTATATTCAATTCTCAAACCCTTCCCATTCATCGCTGGAGTTATTCTGAGAAATATTCTCTCATTGAGTCTCAAATTCCGGTGAATTTTCTTTCGTTTTCAAAGTTCACTACACGTTATGGCAATGAAAACAGTTTTTAGATAACATTATCGTGAGATTGGGATTTGAAGTAATGTGTAATGGCTTTAACGGTCAGTCATTTGGCAATAAACTCAACACTATTACAAAAAAAATATTCTGCAAAACTGCCAGAAATATGAAATGCAATATAAAATGCATTAATTATAAGCCATATATATTTGTTGGTAATAATTCTGTTACTCTCATAAGAATTGTGTTTTATTTATAGAATTATAATAAGAATATTTCGAAACCTAAGAATTGGATTGAAATCGATTTTCGAGAAAATTATTACTTCTTTATAGCCATATAGTCATCGATTTATATGTCCAATGAATTTATTTGTCACACAATTGATTGTAAAATTAATGTCAAATGAGTTTTTTGTCGAAATTGAGTGTTGAAATTACGAGTCTCTCATTAACACTCAATTGTTTTTGAGTGCATTCAGGTGTTGAGCGAAATTAATTTGAAATGTATTATAATTTTCACACATGAATGAAACGGAAATCAATTTATTATTTAATAAACCATTTTTAAAATGATGTTTTTTATAAATGCAACTAACATTCAACCGCTATATTCACGAAATCTATAAGCGATTTCGATAGACAAATGAAGTTCATTACAAATAATTTATTGCCAATAATTACTATAATTTTAAATATGATTCACTATTTGGGACCGTATTGACAGGTGCCAACAAATTTATACAGGATTTAAATGTCATTAACAATAAAAGACAACACAATGTATTTAAATGCAAATGATTTTGGCATTACAATAGATTTCTATTAATACAACATTCACTCACTTAATAATGCGATGATTTCCTGTCGAGACCCGCGTGTAGACTGACCTCATATCCAATGCTTTCTTTACACTGATATTAATCTCAATATCTCTTTCATGAAATACTGTGAGAGTTAGACAATCATTTGATTTAATTATAGTAACATTTTTATAAAGTTGTCATTGTTTTATATATCATGGCTAGCTATTACTTTTATGTCAATTTAATTTTTACTAATTAAAATACAAATCATTAAACAAGGATTTTGCCTTTTAAACCGAAACCAGACAATCCTTTTATTGTGAACTTAATTAATTACTTACTTTTTTAATATCCTATTCGTTAGTCCGTACAAATCCGTTAATTAAATAAATAAATATATACTAGTATGAATATAAATTATCGTGGATTAAAGTAAATAGTAAAAATTAAAATAAATGCATTTCTACGTTACTTTGATAACATAACGTCATTATAGCGTATTCTGTCTCAAAATTAGTCTGACTCTAAATTCTCTCTCTCTCTCTCTCTCTCTCTCTCTCTCTCTCTCTGTATATTATATTCAATAATGAATTGCAATATTTGTATTGTGATTAGTGTATACTCAGCTGCACTTAGAATATTAAAAGCAAATATAATAATACATAATAAAACATTTAGCTTTTTATTGTTCCAAGACTTTCATTTAGTACTTTAGTCCATGGTTTCAAATTTACTAATATATTAATGCCTAATTGCTAAATCAAGATACTTCTCAATAAATGACCCAATTTATGGTCTCATCTATTATTTTATAAAAAACAAAAGCAAGAGTTATAATTTGACTCTAAATTTATGACAACAATTCCGTATCATGTATTTATAGCTGCAAATTTATGTANACTAATATATTAATGCCTAATTGCTAAATCAAGATACTTCTCAATAAATGACCCAATTTATGGTCTCATCTATTATTTTATAAAAAACAAAAGCAAGAGTTATAATTTGACTCTAAATTTATGACAACAATTCCGTATCATGTATTTATAGCTGCAAATTTATGTATTATATTTGCATATCATTCAATACATTATTCATTATAATATTCTGTATAAAAAATTATGTGAAATTCAATCCTAATTGTACTCCTTCTCCAGTTGAGAGACACATCTAATTAGCAATAAGTATATGTATTATATTTGCATATCATTCAATACATTATTCATTATAATATTCTGTATAAAAAATTATGTGAAATTCAATCCTAATTGTACTCCTTCTCCAGTTGAGAGACACATCTAATTAGCAATAAGTAAATATTAGGCATAAAAGTGTAAAACAATGATATATTAATACTGTATATTGTTTTTCATACAAGTTTTATATATTGATTCTTTGGTTACAAATTCTACAGTATATTATTAGACTACGAGATAATGTTGTCATTTATTTGAAAGCATCGATAACCTAATGATATAATAAAACTAAAATATAATTCAATGGGTTTTTATTACAAAATAAAATCTGGTTTTCAAGTAATTTAATATTAGAGAAACTTATATAATAAATTAATCGATTAAATATTTCACTTTAAACTTGGGTTTCAATGCTTTTTCACTGGAATACACGTATTGATTGAGTCAATATTAGACAACTCAGTAGACATACACGGATATAACAATTATTAGTTATAGACATGGAAATGATTTAATTGAACAAAAATTTAAGTAAAATGTGTTTCATTGTCCTTCCCTTCTATGGGATCTAAGATTAGTTTTTAATCCTTGAGATTATTCTGAAATATTTATTATATTAATTGAAATACTCAATGTTATATTACCTAATATGTTAAGATATCTCATTATATCCAGTGGTCTAATGCTATTATATCTTTATTTATATGACTCTCATATGAATTTCATTTTTGTTAAGATATTCATTTTAAAAATCTGTTACCAATTAAAACTGGAATCATAGAAAATTATTCTAGATTATAATTTAGTTAATTGATAAAGTAATAATTATTATGTTATGTTTTACAGATAAATTAACTTTCATTTTTATAATATAATTATTTACTATAATTGAATTAATAATTTAAAGCTCAGTTACGTATATCTACTAATAACCTACATTAAGCTTATTATTAATAAATTATTAACGTATTTATTCTGTGTTTGAATTTTTATATTAAATTTTCAATTTACTTTATCAGTGAAAATATATGCTTAAATATTTTATGATAATCTTAAAGTTTTTAAAAAAACTAATTTCAATAATAATTATTAGAAGTTAATTGATAGAGGAAAATGTGATTTCAATATTATGTCAAAATTGAATTCAATCTCTCGATCGTATTCTCAATGTTATTAAAGTTAAGCACATCCTTGAGGTAGTCTTTCGGACGACCTTTTCATCTATTTTCAGACATATTTCAGTTATCGGTTTTATTTTCTAAGAGTCAATGATTTTAATAATATTTGTTTTAAGGACACCATTGATAGCGAATAATGAGTAGAATTTA